AGGGTGTAGTAGCTCTTGGCTTCGGGCTTCTGCTTGACAAAGGCGGCCAGGTTGCCCTTGTAGTGGACCAGCTTCTTTCCCTCATAGTGGTAGATGTCGGTGCAGACCTCGTCCAAGAATCCCGAGTCGTGACTGACAATAAGACTGGTGATTTCAGTGTGCTGCTTCAGATACTCCTGGAGCCACTTGACATTGGCAACATCCAGATGGTTAGTCGGTTCGTCCAGGAGCAACACATCGGCCTTCATGAGCATAGCACGGGCCAGAGCCAGCTTCATCTTCCAACCACCCGAGAGGGAGCCGACCTGCTGGTTCTGTCTTCCCTCGGGGCCATCGGTAAAGCCGAATTCCAGGAGGATACGGCTAATGTGCTCTTGTCCGGCTTCGGCAATCTTGGGGTCCTTCGAGACATATTCGATGATGCTCAGATCCGCGTCTTCACCCTGATTGTGCTCGACAAAACAGGTGCGGACAACGTCCTGAGGAGGGAATCCCTCTAGCTTCTCATTGGCAATACTGCGCATGAGTGTAGACTTGCCGGCACCGTTCCGACCACAGAGACCATAGCGGTGACCCTTTAGGAGGCGGAGGTTCGTGTGAGAGAGGAGAAGCATCCCTCCGTAAGCGAGGGAGAAGTTGGCGTTGACAATCTCAACCTCGTTGGGGTCGTCAGGAACGGGCTTGCCGAACTTGCGGTGGTCTTCTTCGATGAAGTGCACCTGGACGGCAGAAGCGACAGCCTCGTGCTTGTCATCCTGGAGCAATCCACGAAGATAAGGGCCAACACAGGCCGGGATGCGATCGTGCATTCTGGCATTGACATCCTCGCGCACCATCTCAGCGATGTAGCTCTTGCCGAGCTCGAAGAGAGTGTGCTCGCTGGGCACTGCAAGGCCACCATGCTCCTTTATCTTGGCCTCGAGCACAGCGAGGACCTCTTCAGCGGTCGTCTTCGCCACGGAGCCGGCCGCCAGGCTGCTGTCACCCATAGCTTTGTCGATGACATCCATGGCGCGGGTGGCGAGTTCTCTGACTTCAGGCAGCGAAGCGCGATCCTTGACAGCCTGCACACCGGGCTTAAGTTTGGGCAAGAAGGTGCGTGCTTCCGCCGGGTCATGGACCAATTTGGTCAAGTTCTCCACAACCACCACAGTGCGGCGCAGGGTCTCCTGGGGCGTTGTGGGCGCATTCAAGGAACGCTCGAGCAGAGGGGTCAAGAGGGCGAGGACGGGCGAGGTGACGATGGCGACGAAGGTGGTTTGGGACAGGGCATGGATGGCGTTCTGTAAAGTCTGCTCGGAAGGCTGCTCCATGGTCTTGATCAGAAGGGGAATGCGAGGAGCCACATCGTCGTTATCAAGCAGAGTGGTGAGGGCGGTCATGGTCTTGCTGGCCTGCTTGGCCACTTCGTTCTTGAGATCGTGCATCCCGGACTCAACCAGGGGAATCAGCTCCTTGAGAGTCTTACCCATGGCGTTGCGCAGAAGATCCTTCTGGCGCTCCTCGTCCATGGTTCCAGTGCCAATCTGCGCCTTGACGGCCATCTTTTCCAACAGGGCATAGGCACCGACGAACCCCTGCCATTTACCAGAGCTCTTGTTGAGATAGGCCGAGAGGGCGGGGATGAGAGCGTTGACCAACGATTCTGGTTTCAAGCAATCGAAGAGCGCGTCGATGGCGTACTGAGCGGCATCGCGCACGACGGCACCCTTGTCAGCCAAAGCGTCGAGGGCGAGGTTCAAGATGCCACCATCCTGAAGAAGGAAGACGACTTCGCTGAGGGGGTGCTCGCGAGGGAAGCGCTCGAACAGGGCACCGATGATCAACATGGCGCTCTCACGACGGGCACCGTTCTTCTTATCGGTGGCAGCCTTTTTGATCTCAGGGAGGATGTTGTATCTTTGAAGACCAAATGTTCCGACGCTCTGAATGAGAAGGTTGGTCAGGCCATAGGCAGCATCGAGAGACTGTTGCGAAGTCTCGGCCGTGAAGATTGTGTTCGTAAGCGAGAAAACCTCCTCGACAGTGGGAGGTACTCCCGAGGGAGTTTTCGAAACGGCGATAGGTGCGGACATCTCGGAGTGAGGCATTATCATGGGACTTGAGGAGGAGAGTGGAGAGTGTCAAAAAGATATGCTTCTGAGTCTGTTGAAGCAGGAAGACAGGATTATCCTCGTTCAAGGCGATGGCGGGGGAAACGAACGATTAAAGGAAAGGGTATATAAGACGGTAAACTGGTAGATAAAATTAACGTCCTTCCCCCGAGGACAGATCGTCTCAGAAAAGACAAGATCTAGGGTATATGAGAAGAAAGAAAACAAACAACAAAGAAAGAGAAACAGAAGACTTGAAAATTCAAGGCTGATGATTGATAATGGAGGAGGGGTCTCCACTATCTCGCTTTATCAACAAGAAAAAATTTCGTGCCAGCGGACGAAAATTTCTGCCTGAGGCGATTCAGGGGGGGAGTGGCCAATCAGAGCTCACCGCCAGCACATGCGGACGGTGATTTGTTCATTGGATCATGTGGCGTGTGGCTGGGGGATTATACGCCACAATGAGGCTGAGCGGCAAGTTGGTGCCTGACCAGAGTTAATTATGCCTCAGGCATGAAATACCCCGGTCTTGGCCTTTCCTAATCGGGACTCCCCGCGTCATGGCAACGAGGAACAGTGTGCGCAATCATGTTGCTGACAGTATACGTCGCAGGAGGAGGTCTACAATTTGTATCTCGTATTTAGTGTTGATAGCTCCTCTTTCTAGCAGTCCATCTCAGAAAGGATTCGAACGTGGTAGAGTCAGTACAACATGGAGTGATTGAGTACTCCTACCCCAGACCCACGAATACCCGAACCCCTCATGTGATAACCGACCGTTGATGAACTGCCTCTATCTGTCAACATCAAAATGGACAAAACCATCCTGAATCTTGTAAATAGATCTTCAACTGAATTATCCTAAGATCAATTACTTCATCCGCATCCCTTGCATCAACCGCTGGACCGAACGCCGGCCGTGCAAGACTGGTAATGCCAACGGTCTTGAGAACTGCTGATCCGCCGACCGCAACTCCGCATGCAGCCGCTTGTTGCCTCGGTTTGACAGAGTCACCCCCCTGCCGTCTGCTTTCTGTCCATTGCCTACCTCCGCGGTCAACCGGAGGTGCCGAGCTATGCTCTTTTTCTCCTTGTTTCGCTGCGCTTTTATCTTTTGCTCTCTTCTCATATTGTCCCCCGCATCATTTACTCGGAATATCCCTTGATATCCTCTCATCACAATGGCCATGACAATGAGATCAACACGCCATGCATCCAAGCTGGCTCAGGTGAGCATCCAACCTGGTCACAGTCGCATCCAGATTCTCATGTGATTTTCACCTCTAGACTGCCCGCTTGGCTCTCAACAATACCCGCAGATATTCGACGGCCGAACCAGATCTCAAGACCGCTCTGAAGGCGGTGATTCCCGCCAAACGCGAGCTGTTCAAGCAGGTCAAGGAACGTAGCGATGAGGTGATTGGCGAGGTCAAGATCGCCAACGTCATTGGTGGCATGCGCGGTCTCAAGTCCATGCTCTGGGAAGGGTCGGTGCTGGATCCCGAAGAGGGCATTCGGTTCCACGGCAAGACCATCAAGGACTGCCAAAAGGAACTGCCCAAGGGCACGTCAGGCACCGAGATGCTCCCTGAGGCCATGTTCTGGCTGCTCCTGACGGGCCAGGTCCCCTCCACCAACCAAGTCCGCGCGTTCTCGCGCGAGCTGGCCGAGCAGTCCCATCTGCCGCAGCACATTTTGGACCTGATCAAGTCCTTCCCCCGGTCCATGCACCCCATGACCCAGCTGTCCATTGCCGTGGCGGCCCTCAACACCGAGTCCAAGTTCGCCAAGGCCTACGAGAAGGGCCTCAACAAGGCCGACTTCTGGGAGCCCACCTTTGACGACAGCATCTCGTTGCTCGCCAAGATTCCGCGAGTCGCGGCGCTGGTCTTCCGCCCCGACGAGGTGGACCAGGTCGGCACGCAGGCCCTGGACGCCAGCCAGGACTGGTCGTACAACTTCGCCGAGCTCCTGGGCAAGGGCGGCAAGGAGAACCAGGACTTCCACGACCTGCTGCGTCTCTACCTGGCGCTGCACGGCGACCACGAGGGAGGCAATGTCTCCGCGCACGCCACCCACCTGGTTGGCAGCGCGCTCAGCGACCCCTTCCTCAGCTACAGCGCGGGTCTGCTGGGTCTCGCCGGTCCGCTGCACGGCCTCGCCGCGCAGGAGGTCCTGCGCTGGATCCTGGCCATGCAGGACAAGATCGGCACCAAGTTCACCGACGACGATGTCCGCACCTACCTGTGGGACACGCTCAAGTCCGGCCGTGTCGTCCCCGGCTACGGCCACGGCGTCCTGCGCAAGCCCGACCCGCGCTTCCAGGCGCTGATGGACTTTGCCGCCACCCGGCCCGACGTCCTGGCCAATCCTGTGTTCCAGCTCGTTAAGAAGAACTCGGAGATTGCACCTGCTGTTCTGACCGAACACGGAAAGGTACCTGCACCCTTTTTTACTGGCAATACTTTCCACTGCAATACTGACAAGGTCACAGACGAAGAACCCCCACCCCAACGTCGACGCCGCCTCCGGTGTCCTCTTCTACCACTACGGCTTCCAGCAGCCTCTGTACTACACCGTCACCTTTGGCGTCAGCCGGGCGTTGGGACCATTGGTGCAGCTCATCTGGGACCGGGCCTTGGGCTTGCCCATCGAGCGACCCAAGAGTATCAACCTGCTGGGGTTGAAGAAGTGATACTGAAAAGCTCAAGTATGACCGCGACGATTGTATTGTGTTGTGATATCAACTGTTCTGTTTCGTTTACCGCCGATGTGCAATTAGATGTAGATCCAATGAATAGATTCCTGTGCCATTAGCAGAGAAAAAGTGTAGTCTCTATCACTTGAGTGTCCAAATTACTCTCAATATTACATGGGTATCAGGTATCAAACAAACGTAACAAATCACTCAATCCACCCGCTGCCCTTCAAACTATGAGTCTCAACCCTCACCTCCGTCATCGTATGGATCCCCCCGCACCCCGTCCCGTTCTCGGCCGTCCCCTTCAACTCCGCCAGTGTTGTCTCGCTTTCACTTCCCCGCTCATGCGAATGCGAATTTGGACTCGGACTCGCATTTATACGCGCACACGGCGCCAGGATCCGCTCCTCCGAGTCCCCGTCCGAGGAGACCTTGTCCCTGTCTCGCTCTACGGCGGTGGACATGATGGTTGTCGTGGCGGGGAGACTATTATCGAAAGGACGAGAGCCGGAGCCATGCAGGTAGCCGGGGCGTTTCGAGTGCGAGGCAAGGCGGTAGGATTGAGATCCGGATCCGTCGGGGTGGCGGCGGCGGGTGGAGGTTAGTCTGAGGGAGTGGAAGAGGGGGCCGTAGGTTGGGATGCAGGAGATTATTACCTGCAGCACATTGATTAGCGAGCGTAGCAGCGACAGTGGAGCATGCGAGCAACTAGCCGGATGACTGTGGGCAGTGGAGTGAATGTAGAGGAAAAAGGGGACATACGCCGAGGCTAATTTCAATAACGGACCAGAGGACGATAGGCTGGCTGTCTGTATATGTTTTGAGGTTCTTGATGGTGAAGACGCGGATGATTTGGATGATGGTGACGAAGAAGCCGAGGGCGAAGACGGCGACGAGGGCGGCTTTCTGGCGGCGCTGGAGGCGGAGGGTTATGAGGACGGGGAGGGGGAGGGCGATGATGATGCAGTCGAAGGCGAGACTTGTTCCTAGTTTCCTTAGTTGCTTGCAGCCTGGGGTCCGGCTGTGAGAGTCATACCTGCGAGTGCTACACGGGGGTTAGTGTCTGGCACGACTGCAAGTAGAAAGAGAACGTACCGTAGTAGGATGCAACGGTATCGATGCAGCTGCCCTGGATGGACAGATCCCACTGCCTGGCTATCGGATGACAGGCAAAGCACAACACGAAGGTAAAGGCCAACTGGTTACAGACACAGGCGACGATGACGGCGACGATGACAATGCGGTAGGCCTTGACGAACCCGCCGATGCGGAGGTACGAGGCCAGCAGCGAGACTTTGAAGCCTAGCAGAGCCAGCGTGTAGACGGGGCCGCCGGCATATTGAACCTGCCAGTTGTCAGCAACATATCTTTATCGCCGGATGAGGTCAGGTCAAGACGGACCCTGCTGAACGGCACGACATTTTCCTGGGGAAAGTATTTGGCGTCCAGTCCAAGACCCCATCGCGATTCTAGGCCGTGGTTAGCATCTGCAGCCTTGCAACTCCAGTCTTGCAGGCAGACTCAGACTCACGCGCAATGGCTATCGCGCCATACGCAATGGCCAGAATGGAACTGAACAGCGAGGCATAGTCATCGACCCCTCCGGCGCGCTTGGTGTGGACGCGCACATACAGCCGCAAAAGAACGGCGAGAAAGGCGACGATGGGGAAAACCAGGCAGATGGCAATGACACGGGGGACCTGGCTGTGAGGATCAGGGGTTTTGAGATTGTACACCCAACCCATGGCTATGCTAGGGAGGAAGCATTTCACCGCGGCTTCAGTGGATATGGGAGATATGAAGCTGTTGGCCTAGTAGAAGGATGTGGGTATTTTCTACTTTACTCGAATACTTATTCCGGTGCACAATTAAGTTTGTCGGATTTAGATCGATACTCAGACTGAATCTGGACGGATCTGCACCTGAGACTATGACTATGGTTGTCTTCTGCTAGACTGGGAACAGAAACTTAGTAACAGTGAGAATGATCGACACACGATCAGGGAACACAAAAGTAAACCATGCAGTGGAAATGGCGTGGAACAATGGAAGACGAGCCTTTCTCAACCAGTTCTCCGATGAATCAACTCCACTCATCTAGGCAGCTAGTCTGGCGGATTCTGGCGGACCGAGACTGTCTCAGTCATCCCACGGACTACAGAGTCCATGGCATTCCACCAGTAGAAGTCCCTCGCGGTGCTTTTCATTTCAGCCCAACTGTCCATGTGCTGTCCTTGCCTTTGCACACGCTTCCTGTACAAGCAGAGTTATAGGTAGTAGTTCGACCTGAAACCATGGTTCGAGTTTATCTCAGCATTGGAATCTTGTCAGTGTCCATCTGTTGTATCTGGATATGCTGCAGACATGCATACAACCTTACTGCATCAAGGGATTGGGTACAGACAATACAGTAAACAGTGTGCACGTAGTAAGGGAGGGATAGACTAAAGAGGCAGTTCGCATGAGAACCAGCCCAGAAATTTAACCGGGAACAGCGGAAAAGGCAAAAAAGGGAGGCGATTCATCAATTAAGCTTCAGCCACCGGGAACATCCCTGCTGTGGCCCCCAAACTAGGCCCAACTAGCCTCATCTCCACCCGTTCATTGGGCCATCGATCCCGCGGTGGAGTTGAAGGATCATACTGTAGCTGGCCAATAAGGGAAGCAGACACGGTATCGAGAAGATGGTCTACTCTGTGCGGGTTTTCCTTGCTGTCTAATATAGGGATAGGATAATTGCGATCGTCTCAGAGGTCCAGATTCGTCCGATGCTTGCCTTAATATTGGTAAATGATACGCAAGTTTCAGCTTGATGAAATGCAAGTACAGATGAAGATTGACTTGCTCGTGCTATTGATCCTATTATTGACGGGGATTGTAACTATCCAGTTAGTCTCTTAGATTAACTCAATCCCCTGAGGGTGAGAACTCTAGCCGGCTAATAGCTATTAGCCTAATAAGAGGCTAGTGCTACCACCAAAACCCGAGTCACGTTACGTGCAGATGCTGCATAGTCACGTCAAGAACCAAGATATCTACTTGAAAACATATATACACTGCTCCTTAGCCGACTCGGACTATGTACGCTTGGACTTGCACAGGTGTCCATCCGACGTGACGGTCCACTCGTCCGACCCCACCGCCGTAGTCCCATAAAACATGCTATTCGGATCATACTTGGCCTTGATGGCCCGCAGCTTCTGGTAGTTTTTACCATAAAACGCCGTCTGGAAATTGGGCTGCCGGAAATCAGCCTCGTTGAGATACGCCCCCGAGGTAGGCGCCACCGCCTCCAGCCGGGGAATGTACTCGTCGGTCATCTTGTGCTGCAGCGCGATCATGTCGGCCGTCGGAGCGGTCCAGCTCCAGGGGGTCGTGATGACGGTGTCGATCAGCGTGTCGCGCCAGGCGGGCAGCACCGCGTTGTAGACGTCACCGACGACCGCCTTCGAGACGTTGACTCCCACGCCGATGAAGGTGGCGCCGTCGGACGTGATGGCCCGATACGCGGCGGTGAGGTTGGCGTTGTTGGTCTGCACGACCGAGCGCGGGATCAGCCAGCCGCCGTACTGCGCGATGCCGACCTCGATAGCGCCCTGCATCGCCTCGAATTCCGCCAGGTAGCTGTCGAACTGCGCCGAGTAGGTGGTATACTTGATCCCCAGCCGGGTCAGCCCGTCGGTAAAGGGCTTGACTAGCGCTTGGAGCTTGGCCACGGGGATGTTGGGTCCCGTCAGTGGCGAGATGGAAAAGCTGGTGTTGGTAAAATACCAGACGCTCATGGCGCCGGCGTCGACAACCGCCGGCAGCGTCGCGTGGTACAGCGCCACCGCCTTATAAAAGGTATCCTGCGAGATGCCGGCGTTGGTAAAGGTCAAGTTCAGCCCCGACGCAGGTGTCCCCGGGTGCGCCTTGGACGTCATCGACCAGACCACCCCGTAGGTGCCGCCGCCGCCGCCGCTCAGCGCCCAGTACAAGTCCGCGTACTGGTTGTCGCGGTTGGCCACGATGAAGTTGCCCTGCCCGTCAATCACCTCCCACTCGAGGACCTGGTCGGCCGCCAGCCCGTGCCGCGACGCCAGTGCCGAGTGCCCGCCGCCTTGGGTGTAGCCGCCGGCGAGACCAACGGTCGGACACTCGCCGCCAACCACCTCGAGCCCCTGCGCGTCAGCGGCCCGGTACGCCTCGATGCCCTGCACGCCGGCGCCCAGCTTGATTGCCTTGCCCTTGTAGTGCTTGTCGGACCAGTCCTTGATCTCAATGTGCTTGAGGTGGTGCGTCCAGATCCCCAGGGCGCCTGCGCCGGTGGACTTGCCGTTGTAGTCGTGGCCGGTGTTGCGCACGACCGCGCGGATGTTGTGTTTCGTGGCAAACTGAATGGCCTTAGAGATGTGCTCGGGCTTGCCCACATTGACCGCGTAGACAATGTAATTGCCCAGCGTGCAGGGCTTGGAGACGGGGTGGAACGGGTCGCAGGTGCCATTGGTGAAGAAGGGGGCCATGATCGACGAGGAGGATTCATAGCTGCTTTCTATCAGTTCCCGAATCAAAAAGAAAGAGAACAGGACATTACGTACTGCAGCTCAGGAAGTTGCCATTGTGCCTTCAGAGCGTCGCATGTGGCAGCATCATAGTTGGGCGCATGGCAGGGAGTGCCTAGCGGGACCGTAGCAACCAGTCGACCGTCAATCGTCTGGTTGAAAGCGGACCAGACCTGGGGGGAGGGCCAACATGCTTCTCCAGGGAAGCAGCGACAGTTTCTTTGAGAGGAGTTGGAGGCAGACGCCGTAGAAGACAGAGCCAGGAGGCCCGTCAGAACCGACCAGCCTTTATTCGTTGTGGGGAACATCTCGATCACCCGCGAAAACAGTTGGCGTCTTGACGAGGATGGACGAGGGGATCTCTTGATTTATTAGTTCACTGCCCTCAGCATCCGGCTACCAGTTACTAACCTTGTGGCATTCCGACGCTAGAAGCCACCGCGTGGGCTGAACAGGAGTTAATCCGATGCTAATTCCTTAGTCGGTGGAGATTCTTGAGCATTAGACTGAACTAATCCGTCGAAATTGTCCGTCAATATAATTGAGGGATTTTGCCTCGCTGATAGTGTTCCATTGTCATTAGTTATCGACTATCCTCGGCATATTCCATCACGAAGTAATATGCATAATCATCCCTTGATGCACAGCTACCCAATCCACTATGTATCTTCATAACACAATGTATATCATCTTGCATATTTGATGCTTCTATCTAGTATCCAGATACGTCCCTACAAACGAGCACCTCCCACCAGCGTCTCCCACTCCCTCTTCCCAAACTCAACATATCCCTCCGCGCCCGGCGGAAGCCAATAGAACTTATCGTCCCGCCCCTCGGCCACCTTACTCCCAATCTTGGCCGGGTCGACCCCCTCATCGCGCAACGGCACCTTGTTCTGCTTGTGGTTGTGAATATGCGCCGACGTCTCTACGATCCGCAGAAACACCGGAACAGCGTACCGGGGCAGTCTTGCGCGTGCGAACGCAGCCAGACCGCGAAAGTCGAATGCGTCTCGCGCCTCCGGGCTGAACTGCAGCGCTGCGCAGCCGGCGCGGCCCTCGTGGTTGGGCACGAGGACGCCGTAGACGTTAGCTTCTTGGACGCCGGGGTATTGGCCTAGGATTTCGGCCACTTCGGCGGTTGCACTGCGTCCATTAGTATTTGGCACATTTGGTTTAGAAGAAGCCAGACTTACACATTCTCGGATTTCCATCGAAAGGTATCGCCCAGTCGATCGAGAAAGTACCACCGGCCGTCGCTCTGGCGGCGTAGCGCGTCGCCGGAGCGGTACCACAGATCCCCCTTTTTAAAGACGTCGCGCAGGAATTTCTTGGACGTGGCGCTTTCGTTGCGCCAGTAGCCTTGGAATGCTTGCTCGTTGGGAACATTGACGATGATCTCGCCGCCCTTGTCGTACGGGGCCCGGATCACAAATCCCGTCTTGGGGTCACGCAGGACATCGCCGGTGGTGGGATCGATTTCCACAGGCACAAACGTGTTGTGCATGATAGCTCGCATGATCAGTCCGTGGTGGCCGACACTGCCCGCCGTAAACGGGCCCTTGTTGAAATTGAACAGCCCGAAAATCCCCTCGGTGCTGTTGAAGAACTCGCCCACGGCAGTGATCCCGAACCGGTCACGGAATTTCTCCCAGATGTCCGGGCGCAGTCCGTTGCCGTAGATGCAGCGAACGTGGTGGTTGCGGTCGTCCGGCGACGGCGGCGCGGCCAGCAGGTACCGCGCAACTTCGCCGACATACACAAAGATCGTGGCGCGGGAGTCTCGGATATCGCGCCAGAAGTTGCGCACACTGAACTTCTTGCCTAGGGCAATGCTGACGCCTGTGGCGAGGCAGACCATCATGGCGACGGCAGATGTGCCGTGGTACAGGGGCATGCAGCTGTACCAGATGTCCCCGCCGGGACCGTCAGTGTCCTCCATCGATCCACGACGCAGACCGAGCGTGCTGTACAGTCGTGCCATGGTGAATGCGCAGCCTTTGGGCATGCCGGTGGTGCCGGACGTGTACAGTAGGATGCCGGGATACTCGCCCGACATGTTGAGCGCCAGATCCTTGGGTGGCTTGGTGGTGGGAAAGGTGGATATTTGCGAGGTGAACGAGGAGCCCAGGTAGACAAGTTCCATGCCCAGTTGGCCTTCGATAGCTTCCCTGCTGTCCTCGATTCGCGCGCGACATTCTTCA